TCTTTTAAGTTCTGGTCGTAATTTAAGAAATATTACGCGCTTGTTATTTCCGTAGCACGAGTTTGTCGCGGACTCGGTTCCTCTTTTTTTTTTTTTACCAAAGCAATGCGTTTTAAACGGAGGGTACAAGGTAGTCCCATGACTTGTGCTTTAATGGTTTTCTCTCTCAGGCTGCCGGCTTGTTTTATTTACGATAAACGAGCGTGAGTAATCTACCGTTCACTCAGCTGACACTGGTATATTTTTGAAACGAGTAACCTTTCGGACAGGATTGATTTCATCATGTTTCCGGTCGCAAATGAGAAACAACGCTTGAGTGTGGCGCTCATAACAAGGCGATTCTTGTAACATCCGTTTACAGGATGTTTCTGTTATTATACACTTCCATTGGAAGTTAATTAAACTTAGGCAGACGAATGTGCTATATATGCTGCTCAATGTTAGTTGTAATCATTCCTGAAAAACTCTCAGCTAGAGGCGAAAAGCATCGAAAGAAATAAACAAAAAGTTACCATTTCCGGACCAGATGACGACCTCCCATAATACGTGACAATACTTTGCGTTTAGTCACGCTCACTTCTGAACCGATGGGCCTGAGGTCACAGTGATATACAGCCCACGTCGTAGAGTGCCGGATTCTCGTAGCGGACAAAATCTAAAGACAAATACTGTTTCGGCCTGGAATTAAAAAACATTTCTTTAAGTATAGGCCTCGATAATGGTTAAGAGGAAAAATTGTGGGAAAATATATATTTTTACAGCTATCTGAAATAACGTGCAAATTATCCGTGGCTCTGAATACAGACATTCGATTCGTCGCGTTTCGATTATTCAACCTTCGTTAATTTATTTCTCACCTCATATTTCGTAGTCTCTAAATGGTGACCTATATCAGAATCGAACAAATCTTATTTTTTTTCCGCTCGTAAATTTCTGCAGCAGCTGAACAGCCGGGACGAATTTGTTACTTTCAACTTTTCACTGCTTTACACACGTGTGACGTATCACATCACGTGACCTGAATCGAGCCGTTTTCAAAATGGCCGTCGATTAAGCGTCAAAAAAAATTTTGTAGAAAATTTGATTTTGCACCGTATTTCATTAATTTGCTCGTTTTGGATTTTTTAACCTAAGAGGAATGTACTGGGACAAAAAAAAAAGGAGAAAATTTGGCGTCAGTTACCCTTGAAGGTATTGATTTGTAATTTTTTACCCGCAGGAAAAGTTTTGTTGAAATTAATCGGTCGAATTGCCATGTTTTATTCCAGCAACAGTATATTTTTCCTCGCTGGAAGTGTCATTACCGCTAGTCGATGTTGTTTTCATTAATAAACTTATAGTGTTGCTTCATTATATACCATCATATGCATGTCATGTCTCTTCTATTAAATCTCATTTTAGCTTTAAAGTAGTTCCATTGAAGGCTCCATGGGGCTCTACTGTTGAAATATTCCGTAATAAATTACAGACGTGCCAAATTCAGAATTCAAGATTTCCATAAGGGTCTTCGTTTTTGTAGTGTGTCTCATGAACATAATCTTTGTCCACAAAGGTAATACCAACCTCTTTTGAACTTGCTTTAGTAATGTGTCTTCGTTTACGTGATGGGTCTTCGTTTTCGTAAGGGGGTCTTAGGTCTTCGTTTTCGGGGTCTTCGTTTTCGTAACTACTCACGAACTCTCTAGCTTGAAAGCTAGCCAAATGTGCAAAGTTCATACTAGTTCTCACCAGATAACAAATGAGCCATATGTGAGTTCAAATTTCGAAAATACTGGCAAAACTGTGACAGCCGATTTAACAACAAACTATGATGCTGAGACGAACACCTCACTTGCTGAAAAAAATCAAGAATGTTCGTGAACACAACTTCGATGGTGGCGCCAACAACAGCGAATTGGATAAGGATACTGACAGAAGCAACTTGAATAGTAAGATTGAATATCTAAGCTTAGCTCTTCCGTTAAATATACTGTTTCTGTTATTGGTTTTTATTGGGTTCAGTACTTGTGAAGTACGATTTTGTATTTCTCACACAATCATTATTATTATGGTACAAGCGATCGTGAATACTCTTGATGACTGCAATCTACTAGAAAAAGTTGTCAATAGGACTATTGTACATATTAAACATAATGTTATAGTGTCAATAAAAGTACAACAATTCAGATCTCGTTATACAAAGTTTGTATATTATAATCGCATTCGTGTTGGGTGCGAATGCCAATATGGCTATAAAAGTGATCTTTAACTAAGCAGAATACAAGTTAGGATGTTAGAACGTCTCTCTCAGAAAATTAGAAAACTGCAGAGTTATGTACGGAGCCGTTTAAGTAAAAACGTACCAAAGTCATCGAAAATCCATGATCTTATTAAAAATAATGCAACATGAAAAAAAAGTACATATAAAACAAAAATCAGGTTTGTACAAAAAATGAGAAGGAAACCAATTTTTAGAACAAGAAACGTTAAATCTTCGATGAGATATGTCTACAATTCAATTGCTGTGAGTATTAGTTACTGTGCTGATAATGGCCATTTTAAAGTGTTTGACTCACATGCTAAAGATGTTTATGGTAAAAGTCACACTCGAGGGACATGTGGTCTATTAGATATATCATCTACAGACAACTTAGTGCATCACTTTCAAAGTTTATATGGGGCAACTGATCTGTATGAACTAAAAGTTTTACAAATTACAAAATATGATGTGGCAATAAGCAACAATGTAAAAGAAGTATTAAAGAGATATCAGGTCAACACAAGTGTTACAAAGATCACTGTTTTGCAGTAGTTCTTTATTCTACCTTACTCAATCGTTTCACCTTGTAGTTACTGGAACTCAAATACTTTAGATGCAATTATTGAAAATGGATCTCAGCTTAACAATACAATGCAGAGTAAGTACTGCTTAACATCTGTTACCCTGCCTGACAGTGTTACAATTTTTTTGCACTAACATAAATTTACACGTTAATGAAGTAAGTCTCATATAATTAAGTAATTTAACTGAAAACAGAATATCTTTAGAGACCTTGATTTTAAGGAACCACACTGGGAAAACAAGCTTTTTAATGTGGATTTCAAGTTACTGTATAGCTTGTATTTAATATCAAAAAAATACAAAAGTAAAGCAATTGTTTTCTCTTCTGACATATGAAGACAGTCATTCACCTACAATGAAACAGACAATACACATTCGTGGTGTGGATAATCAAGTAGAGGAAATTAATAATATTATTCAAAATAAACAGGAATGTCAGACTATGGAATATGATATACAATTTATTTGCTCTTCATGTGAAATTACTGAAATTGAAAGGAAACGCGTTAAAAACACAGAAAAAAACCTATGTATGACAGCATGGAACCTGTTGCCAATAAGTGTATTCAGTATTGTTTTCTGTATTGCCAGTTATTCAATCTGTTCTAGCCCAGTTGCTTGGCAAAGCAGTGGTCCTAACAATAATCATTGGAGATTTTATCTTAACTTGAGCATCTCATGAACAAAATAATGGAGAAACATGTTTCATATATTTGTACAAGGCCATACAGATCGATGAGTGGGATAACATCATGATTATTAATAACTGAAAAAAAATAAACAAGTTTCTGGCTGAAACAAATTTTGGCAGTTGTGTTAATGTGTATGTACTGATGTCTTCAATGTTAATTGTTTTGCAAATAAAGCAAGCTACCTAAAGTATCAAACTTAAACAAAGTATTCTTTTGGTAGAGAGGCCTGTGGTTCTGGACAGAGGTTTTCTGTAAGTATTTACTCTTTATGGATAATCTAGTGGCGGAAATTAATAATATTATACAAATAAACAGGAATGTCAGACTATGGAATATGATATACAATTTATCTTCTTTTCATGTAAAATTACTGAAATTGAAAGGAAACACATCATGAGAAAACACAGAAAAAGACATATGTATTACAGCATGGAACCTGTTACCGAAAAAAGGTTTCTAGAAGACATCAAAAGAAAATATTCAACTATGGATGCTAAAAAGAAGAAAGAATTACCTTCCCAACCCAGTGAGAAATTAGTGAAAGCCAGATCGGTTGAATTGTGTATTGACCAGTTTAAGAGGAAAATAAGAGAAGGCCCTTATTTTATATGTACTGTCTGTAATCGAATACTTTATAAGAAATCAGTAATAACATGCATAAACAAGAAATACCCTTGCCAAACATATTTCAATATTCAACAGTCGTTTGATGGAAAACAGTATATACGCAACACATGTCATTCAAAGGTCATAAAAGGAAAATTACCATGTCAGGCTGCAGTGAACAATATGTATGAGGATGAAATACCCACAAAAGTATCCTCGTTAGAAAAAACTAGAACAAATATGAATAGCTCAACGAATAGTACTTGAGAAGATTGTGGTTATGCATAAAGGAAAACAGAGAAAAATTAAGGGTGCAATATGCAATGTACCTGTAGAATGTGATCAGACATGTAATCAACTTCCTCATCCATCTGATAGATCTTGTATAATAATACTTAAGCTTAAGAGAAAGTTACAATCTAGGGGACATGTTTATTTTCAAGCATCATGACCAGGGTTAATATAACAAGTTCTTAACTGGCTCAAAGTACATAATCCATTGTAACAAGATATACTAGTTGATATTAACAATATTGATAGCAACCTCACAACTTTATAAAATGATGCAGACGATAATGATACACATCAACAAGCTACATCAAACAATGTAACAACAGATAGTGATCCTGCATTGGAGTATGATGCAAGAGAAATGATAAATTGAATAGTTGTGCCCTTAAAATAACAAGTCCTCCCGTCAAAGCAAGACTTTGCATCGATGGGCATGGTGTTGACGCAACTATTATAGTTTTTGACATTCAAGGGCACAAGTTGACAATTTTCATCACTGTTTTAATTTCATGCATACCAAGGTAACTCGGAAAACGTACGTAAAAATTGATCTAAATAATCTGCATTACGCGCTTCATTGAGCTTTCTTGCAAGGAGATGAACAATTTCGGGACGACTGTCTTCTTAATTTCCTAAACGTTTAATTTTCTCGCAGCACTATTTCTAGTTATGAGACAATGTTCTTAGAGTGGGAAAACAAGAAACCTCATGGCCAGAAATGTCGATGCTCTAATACTAAACTATGATAAATAAATGCGTGAAGTTATAGGAGGTGCTGTCTAAACAACTTTTTCACTTGCCTATTTTACACATTCCCTTAGATTTAAACCTCAGATATGCGTCTGCAGATTTTGGAGCAGATTTTCACAGCGAGTAATTTATTGGCGTAATATTTAGATGTTCCCTTGCCGAGTTTAACGCCATGAGTTCTCTCCAGGGAATAACGCATAGGAATTATGATGCAATGACTCGATAGAGAGATAAATAGATAGTTTATTGATAGCCGCTTTGCGACCAGAAAATGATTTATACGATTATTACAAAAAGGTCATTATAAAGGACTACCAGTAGTTTAAAACAAGTTAGTATAAACATATATTTAACTGTGTTATGCTAGTAAATTAAATATGTCGAAGAAACATAAAAGTCAAATAAAATCGATCAGTCCTTAAGGGCATTAAAAGTAACACGGCAAGACCGTTACGAAATCTGTTCGTCTTGAAGATGGGCCTAGACTTCCGTAAGTTTCTTAGGATCAAGGTACATGTGTTACGAGCAGAAAAAGGTCACGGAGCTTGTTCTTTTTAAGCTTAATAACTTTCTTAAATAATTTGTCAGCTAATCCCTATTTAGACTGGCATTGAAGACGAGCCTAAACTTCCATATGTTTCTTAGGATCAAGGTTAGTGTGTTACGAGCAGAAGAAAGGCCATAGAGCTTGTTCTGTTCGCTCTGTATAACTTCCTTGAATAGTTTATTGACTAGTCCCTAGTTAGACTGCCATTGTGGTTGACCCATGAATGGTAAACAGATATAAGTTAAATTTTGCCGTTCTCGAAAAAACCAGCTGTCTGGCAAGAGTAAAACTCTCACCACAAAAACCCATCGCAAGAACAGTCATCATATGGCTATTTCTATCAGTGTCCGCACCCATAGTAGGAAATAAACAAGTCATAGTCAGTAACTAAAGCATATTGTTTATCAACTGGTTTAGGTAATTACTCGAAACATTTCTAGAGTTTGAAGTCTCTACTTGAGTGGTGTCTATACAGATGCCACAGCACAGTTTTCTAAGAGAGAACGCTGCGGGTTATCTCTCTGGGTTTTTAAGTCAATGAGCTCCCGCCAGGGAATACAGAACAGGAAGACTACTGAAATTATTCCTGTTGTTACTATCTGAACGAAAGTACTTGCGTGACTCGAAAAAAAGATGGCTGCCGAAGGAATGACTGCGTCAACAACTATGAGCGATATGACAACACTGAGAACCAGTAATCCAACCAAAGCTTGCGCCCATCGTAGCATCTTTGTTGTCTCAATCCTCAAGAGTGCACTTGCACCTACCTTAATGACGAACATAGAGAGATTGAATGAGCCGTAACTTACACCACTGGCCAATCCAAAATTGAAGACGATTTTGTAGCAGATGACCTGTATGGTTCCATTTTGAATCAAATTTTGAACGGCAGCACTGCTACAGTTTAAGGGGTCTTGCGGCTCCGAAATCCATTTGCGTTCGAAGCAGTCTTTCGAGAGGTCATCTTCATCGCAGTCGTAGCTTTCATCCCGCAAGAGGAGCTGCCAAAAAATTGCCAGCGCAGCGCCAAGCATCAAATAAAACAGCACAAAAAATTTGATTAGGACCTTGAATAATAAACTCTTCGCCGCTGTCAGATCAATGTCTTTTAACAGCCACCTCGCTTCTCGAGGACAACAAGTCTTCTTCTTCTTCTCCTTGAATATATCGGAAAATACATTTGTGGCAACCCAGCGACTGATACCATCCAGTGGAATTCTGTAAAACCGCATAACCACCCAACAGACAACGATGGGAATGTAAGTAACTAAAAAGGGTGGCCAAACTAAAATTTTAACGTACTCGTCTGACTTCATTATTCTATCTTGAGCTGCAAAACTGATGAATATACACTCGATTGCAAAAACGTTGACACCTTGAGAGCATAAACTGTGAACGATGAGACCCAATGGCTTTATGGGTATAAGTGTACTAAATTTATTTGCATAATATTCTATTCTCGTGCCACGGTTGATAACCAAAATTAGTTGCACGTGGTCAGTGATGGAAACGGTTCAAGCTTTCCTAAAAGTGTCTAAGCTGGCCAACAAGGGCCAATTTGAGCGATATTCAATCCGATATTTGCCTAAGTTCATATCCGTCAATGAACTAAAGCAATATTTACTTGAAAATTATTCAGAAGAATTAAGTCCCGCTTCTAATTGCACGTCGCTAACTATCGGCTACATGAGTGACGGGCGCCGAAAATGTGACATCAAAACAGAAAAACAGTTGGACGACGCCTACAGAAGTGTTAAGAATGGATGGATCACCCTATGGGTGGATCCACACAGTTCCTTCAAACGAAAACAGGGCGAGATAGAAAGAAGGGAGGCCGGTAAAGCAAAGAGGAAGAGAAATTCAGGTATGAATGGAAAACCATATTGCCTGTCTTTCCCGCTTGTTACAAAATTACTCAATGTTTAATGGAAACAATGTCCTCCTTTTTTGTTTTTCATTCAGACGACGCTATCGACAGCGGTGACAGTATGGAAGAGGACGACCATGACTCCTACGAAAACAGACTCGCGCGACTGCGAGAAAAACACGGAGGAACATTAGCGGACTTTAAACTGAAATGTTGGGCAAAAATGTTGGTAAGCTTGGACATAAAAAAAAATTCTTTTGGTAAAATAGAAAAATTAATCCAATATTTGAATTTGGCTCTTCAAAAACTACATATTTTAAAAGCATGTGCGTACATTTGTTATTTTAAATTACAAACTTTGTCCGCCATTGTTCATGGACGAAAAATACAATTGTATGCCTTGACTGTTTTTTTTTTTATTATTACTACAGGTAAATAAAACTCATCACAGCGAGGATGAAATGCCTCAGGTTTCCTTCTTTACCGGGAGGAATAAAGCCAGCTGTTCAACGGTTGACCTACCTTCATCTTCTTCAGCTCAGTCTTCAACTAAAGAAACAACATTAAACTCAATTTCGGGTGCTGAGGAAAAGGTAACTCTCTCACTTGATACTCCACCTTGCGAACAAAGAGCGCGAGTCAATCCTGCAGAGTGATTTTTTGTCGTTGCAATTGCTGCCATTAATTGCAACAACAAAACTCTGAAACCGGCGTGCTCGAGATCCATAAATTTTGAAAGCACACTCGTCACCTCTACTTAACAAGAGAAAATTGCACTCCTTACTGATGTAATTTATTTTTCTTCATTTTCCACAGCTACGTTTACAAAGTATGATCTATAACCAGATTGCACAACTGAAGGATCTGTTTGATAAAGAAATCATTACAAGAGATCAATTCGACAAAGAACGCGCAAAATTAGTTAATGAGCTAAATAAAATCGACTAAATTATTCTGATTGATTATTTCGAATAAAGGGAAACGCGAATACAGGAAACTTGTGAAGCCGCGTAGAAAATAAAATTTAAAAAAAATTAATGTGATAATAATGGGCAGCGTGTCGTGCCGTACTCTTCTGTTATTTCTTGTAAAACCACCTTTCATAGATGTACATGTAATTAAAGGTATTCAGAATGACGAATGTAGTTTGCTATGTCTTCATCAGCTATTTGCATAAAGGCTTCAAAAACCATGTTCTCTGGTTCATCACACTGCTCCCAAACCAGGTCGTTTTCTCGTATCCAGCTCTTTGCCAGTGCGATCACTCCTTCACAAGGCATCAGATTTGGACAGTAAGGTGGACGAAAAATAAGGAGTGCACCGGAAGCGTTTATTGCATCAACAACACTTTGTGAATGATGTATGGCTGCATTATCTGAGAACAACAATGACAAATTAAAAATTGTCTTAAATCTATAATATGGTCTAAAAAATCTTTAAACGATTTATGTCATACCCATTATAACTACGGAGCGAGGATTCGCACCGTTAAAAGGCAGAAGGTTCGGGACAAGCTTCTCATTAACAAACTGAAGAAACACATCTCCATTTGTTGCTCCTCTATGAATACCAATTTCAAGCAAGCCTTCAGTGCATACAATTGGGATGGCTGTAATTCGTGGATGCCAATTTGTATGCTTCCTTTTCACTTTGGTACTATAACCTCGGAAACTGTAGCCAAATCCCCTTGTAAGTCGACGATCCTTAAAAAGAATAAAACATACCTCTAATCTTCAAAAACAAAGGGGTGTAAAGACAAGTGAAAATAAGGTTTCCTTGAGTTATACTTACAAATCCACTTTCATCAAGAAAGACAAACATCTCTGCATGTAGGAGACAAGTATCCGCACGAAAATTGATGTTCGCCAATTCGCTTTGTTGTCGAGCAACTTTCTTAAGCTGGAAAAAATAGTTACACTAGTGTTAGGTTGGGGGGACTTTAGCTTAAACTTGGTGTTCAGTTGAAGGTGGAGGATAAAATGTGCCCTCACTGATCAGACTTCATTTTCGGACAGTATGGTGACAAAATTGATTGGAATAATGGGCAGTTCAGTTACCACCACGGCAACAACAGAGACAAAAGCGCCACTTAAAAAAAAACAACCCTCCTTCTTTTAAATTACTTTTTATTTTAATATTTTTCCATTACGCATAATTTGTTTCTTGTTACTGAGGTTTCACTCGAGTTTAAAGTTCATAGGTAGGAAACTGTCATGTCTTCGTGTTTTGATCATTTTGACGTTGTTGATTGGCAAAGACTGGCGCGTGAAGAAATATGAAAAAAGCACGAGCAGAGGCACTTTTTCCCTGTCAATCCTATCCTAGTTAATTGGTCTTTGTCACTTGGCGGCCATGTCGAGTCTCATGGGAATAAAAAGCTTTGTTTTTGCAAAGCAAACCTCTCTCTAAATTCGCGTCTGGCCGAGGCTTGTTGTGCAAAAACAAAGCTATTTATTCTTCTGAGTCAACAAATATCCCCACGTTAAAAGGTCTATAATAATCCTGCCGATAACTGCTTACCCGTTTTCTTGTAACGCCGTTTCTTTGAAAGTATCGGCAGACCGTCGACACTTGAAAACGGTTTCCGAATACAGTCATAATTTCTCTTACAATCTCAGTCAGTGTCTTCTCTGGGTGCTCTAGCATAGCTTCCATCATCACGAGCTCCTCACGCGGGTGCATTCCAACCAGATCCAAAGGTCTTCCAGTTTTCTTGGCCACAACTTCACCCGTGCGCACAAATTTTTTTGAATCTCTTTACCGAGCTTGGTGACATTGCCAGCATACCGGATGTATCCTCAATGTTATAACCAAGGAACACATGAAGCCATACAGCTCTTAAACGTAAATCGTCCGAGTATGCTTTGGGCATCCTTTTTTTTCCAGCAATGTATTTTTTATTGCAAAGAATAAGAATAGTAAATTATTGATTATCATGATGGAAATGAGGTTATTGTTTAAACACTACCCACAAATCCGTCGGGTCTCATCGTTCACGGTTTATGCTTTCAAGGTGTCAACGTTTTTGCAATCGAGTATACATTCAGAGATGAAGCAATAAAATATTTAGACCCTCGTTCTGAAAATGAGGTACTTAGGAGATGACCTTCTTACTCTTGAAGGAGACTGGTTTGGGGCGGTAGTCATCGATTTTTTGCTACTCTTCAGAGATACGCCAAGGTACTGAGGAAGAAGACTCTTTCGGCCGGGCGTCTCAAGGAGTTGGGGGTGAAGTCAAATTCAGTGCGTGTGCAAACCAAGTAATTAATGGTTCCTTGTTTTCAGGCTTAGTTCTCAGGCTTTTTCTATTGTTATTCGTTTCAGTTAAGTCTCACTTTATCACCTATCAAATGGCCTATATCGTTACTAAATCGGTTAGTTAGTTTTTTTTTTGTATGCTCGGAATCGTGCTTGATTATGTCCACATCCCCAATATAAGGTTATTTAACATAAGGGTATCGTCTGAGTTAAATACCTCGTAGCTTATTAATCATTTTTCCAGCCTTCCTTACGATCAATGTAATTGCCGATTATCAGTTGACACTTCCATGTTACGGTCGTTGTTGCAATGTTAGCGATAGTTCCTTCATTTCTATTATTTTATCTTCGATATGTTAGTTACGTTGGCTTCTATTTTCGTCTTGTAAAATGTTTTAAGCTTTTTTGCTGTCGTAACATCGTAACAATTTCCACTAGTTTTGAGCCTTACCTTTCTTCGTTATCGCAAAATCCAAAATATGCTAAAGCCTGCAAAGCTTCTATGAAGGCGTGCCAAAATGTTACAAGAGGCATTTTGAGTTCTGCTCTCCTTGCGGAAGTGGATCTCCTCTGAATAAACGTCACAATCGCAATTTTTTTCATAAGCGCGCGTTCGAACGATTATGCGGCAGTGATGGCCATGAGTCGGAAATTACGGAAATTTTAGACTTGTGTGACAATGATTGCATATTTACGTCAAAAAGACTCTTTTTCTTAGGTGTTTTTTTCACTCAGATAGCCATGTAACTGCTGTGTTCATGGCATATTTATTTTTTTAGTAATGTCGCCTGGCAACAACAGTGCCCACTTTGACTAAAATTATCATGTTCATTCTGAGAACTTGTTTAAAATCGTTTGATCATTTCACTCCCAAGATCTCGTTAGTAACTCTCTTTACTGTCTACCATACAATGTTTATGATGTTAGTTTGGAGAATTTGGTTTTGGAGGAGTTACGAATACTCTGGTTAATATTTTTCTTTATTCTCATCACTTATCTGCTTGGTATTGAATTGATATTGTAAGAAGAAATTCTGTCTTGGTCACTCGTGGGAGTGAAAGGGTACCAGCATACAGGTACGCATAGAAAACTTCAAGAGGCAGATTTCTTTACGCGTAATAATTGCCTTGCTACCAACATGTAGCTTCATATTAACTCGACTGGTTTCAGTGCTCAACAGTTCAAGAGGCCTGGAAAACCTGAAAAGTCCCGGAATTTTATTTTGAT